CACACGGTTGGTGATCTGGCTTTCAACACGGCCAAGTTAACGATTCTGCACGGATCATTTTCCCGTTCCGAAAGAGGACTTCACATAACAATAGAACGATGCCTTCACGTCGATACCGTGCTAGCGGAGAAATTGCAATTTACTCGTTCTTCTTGTCGAATACCTTAGTTGGAAATTCATAGTTCGAAAGACTCTTTTTTTTTTCAATTACGAATTAGTAGTTGCTAAAATTGCCGTCGGGGGCTCGTTGGTTAGGATGTGTGCTGATGAGAAAGCCCGCCGTAAGGTTATGACGACCAGAATATAGTGTAGAGGACGTCTTCGTACTAACAACACGAACCCCTTAACCCATGGCCGAGAGTCTGGGTCACCGCTAGTCGGCCAATGCCCTTAGCGGGCTGACGAACCATAGGATAGGATAGGATAGGATAGTTGTTAAAATTGAAGGGCGATTGTCCGTAATGGGATGAGGCCCATCAGCTACAACACGCCTCTCGCTATTCGTAAATGTTAATATATCGATTATGATCGAGATATGTCATCTTGTTACTGCACCACGCCTTTCATAAATACGAACAAGCCTTACTTAGTAACGAGAGCAGCCACGTTTTCACCGAAATCCATTTATTAGCATTTGTACTACCGCGGACTTTGTACTTTCTACGGCTGGGGTGACTTTTCTTATTACTGTTCCCAAGATCTTCAGTTGATTTAATCATGATGAGTATTGTGGTGTAATGTAGACATTTATGGCATAAATTTTCATTTTTACAGTATGTGTAAATGGTCTTGTATTCTTCTGGATCAGTTACTGTGATAACTGATATTTCTGTAAAAGCCTACCATCAAATTACCAATATCCATTACTTCAGTTTTAGAAACTAGTAGATGTTGTACCACCCAATAATTCTAGACTGTATTAACTCAGTCAAATAAAATAATAAATGTCAGTGGACAGAAATGAACTTATTTACTTTTCGTTCACTGCTAACAAATTTCCTGAAGTAACATGCATCAACCTTTCCTATGATAATTCACAAAACACGAGACTACGTAATCTTCTCTTTCCTTTGGCTAACAAAGCAAGAGGTTGTAATTCGTGAAATACGACGGAGAAGCTTCGTCGACAAGGACGGAATCCACGATGTCCACGGCTGATTTACCGAGTCGGACCTCCGTCAGACCACCTTGGTCATCTCATTGACACCTGCTGAAACTACCTATTCATTGACCGAACAATTGACAGTCGCTGTCTGGTGGAGACTTCTAGCGGCTGACTGCTCTGAACGGTAGTTTTTCGTGGTTTACCCGATCAATACAAGGCGGTTGCCGGAGCAGCACCGTACCAAACGGGCCACGGAGCTGGCGCGATCATAACTTCCTCTTCATTGCCCTATGCTCACCCCTTACTCACACGCACTTACAATAACATGTGTAACACTACTCTACACTACCACACAAGCGGGAAACCAGTCGCAAGCTTAGAGCGTGTCCCGGCTGCTGGGAGATACCTGGTTGGAGAAAAGCCCGCTAGCTGACGGTAGGTCGGAGCCAGATCTCACCATTCAACGTGGGAAGATCAACGCCACCTCCCGAGGTAAAGATGGACTACACTTACGGAGCCATAGTAGTTGACGATGTCGGTATCACTAGCAATCAGTGAACCATTAAACACAGAAACAAATTTCACAGTTTTCACAAAGTTCGCAATTTTACAAATTTGCTTTTTTACCAAATTGGTCTCGAGAAAAGCAAATTAGTATAAATGAGGAAAATAGCTTATTTAAAGAAAAATTCTGTTTATTATTGTATTCCAAGATAATTATTTTAGTATCTATATTTTCAAATCACTATGAGTTTTCGTTTAGAAAGTGTTTCGAGCTTTCTACTCAACTTTTCTTATTTTTTCTGTTTGTGAGAGCTATGTGTTATCTATTACTCTCATCAATTGTTTTTATAGAATTAGAATTAAATATCAAGAACTTAAAATAAACGGCACCTATCTACATTCTTTTCTTTTGTTCGGCGAATCGCTAACGATGTATCGAAAGGGGCTGTAGTTTCGTCGCCAGGCACGAACAAGCGTGTGTGAGGTTCTAGTTAGCAAAGCGAAGATAGCTAGTTTTGTAAGTGCGAATATTCATGGAAATGAAGCTAGTGCTTAAAGTGCAAAGATGACTAAATAAACCATCAATATTGATAGTTTTCCTCTAGTTTATTAAATTTGCTACATTTATTTTTGTTACTTTGAAAACGTGGCGCAGGAACGAAGCTTTTTAGGCCCACGTGCTAAGGTGCTCCCTCTTGTAGACGTGAGGAGAATGAAGGACGGGACCTTGCCGAAACGAAGATGGCGGCGGGCCATCGCGTAACCCGATCGCCATATGCGGATTCGCCGCCCGCGGCGACAGCAGAGGGCGGCGCAGCGAATGAGCTTATCCTGCTGCCAGTGGATAATGGCCACGCAGCGGCTGCCGTATGGGGTGCTTGATTTCTGTCGGAGGATAGGCGGCCGTTGGCTTCTGGGGAACTGGCAGAGCCACCGAATACTCTTCACAAACATACACACCGGCTGAGATGGCTTAGGGCACCGGCTGTTTATACTGCAGTACCTCTGACTAGATGGTCCTAGGGTTCGAGATCAACGGTGGCACCCAGAGAGGTGGTTCAAGGTTCAACTGATGGCACTGCAGGGCCTCTGACCGGAAGGTCCTGAGGGTTCACTACTGATGATCGCTGTTGAAGGATTTTCGACACTAGTTACATGGCGAAGTCGAGTTCAGTCGCTGTCTGGAGGAGAATTCTAGCGGCCGGCTGCTCTAATAGGTAGTTTTCCGTGGTTTCTCCAATCACTACCAGGCGACTGCTGGAGCAGCACCCTACCAAACGGGCCAAGGACTTCGGACCACGTGCGATCTTTTCTTCCTATTTCTTGTCCTAAACACTACCACATATGCCGGGAGATCGGACGGGGCCTTACAGCTTGTCCCGGCTGGGGCGGTGAGCAGCGGGAAGGAGATACTCCGGTTGGGGGAAAATGGCTATCTTTGAAGAGATTTTTGTTGATTGTATACCAAGGTGCGTTAACTGCCAATTTGAAGATCCTATTTTGGAATATTTGAATTTTGTTAATATTATTGTTGTAGGGACGACGTTTTATCATACTGCGTGATCTGGGCTGTCCGGGTATGCATACCAGCCCTGAGGAAGACCACGACAAGATAGTCGAAACGTTGGCCCACAGCCGCGGCGTCACCCGGACAGCCCAGATCACGCACATGACTCTGGCCGCGGAAGCCTACGACTTTACGTTACACCATACTGGACAAGCATACGTGAGTAACGGATGTAAAATGTCTTTATAAATAAGGAGAGCAGAATGGTGCCTTAATGTGGAGTGACGGTTAATTACTGATCGAAGAATACTCTGTGTTATTTTTAAAAACGTTATTCCAAGTTCATACTATGCATCTCATTTCAGAGAATGTAAAATATTCTTTAACAATAAATGTCGATATACCAAAAGCCACTTTGGCAAAATGTGGAGTAGAGGCATTATTTCTTTAATCAATTCAGCTACAATTATTACTCGTAGTCTACTGATATTTGAAATGCGACAAGACACCATGTCATAAAATGACGGAAATCAGAATTTAAATTAGGAAAGTATAACCAACCTTTTTACTTTTTCTGAATTGTATGGTGACGTATAAATGACAAATCATAAAACACATTTTTAGAAGAAGAAATGAAGACTTGTAGCGTACGAACGTGATTAATTTGAAGACTTGAAATAACTCTTGTAGCCTGCAAACGGGATTTGTCTGATGAATATCTCTAGAAATATACTAACGTAGTTCATTTGATGCCGTACATTTGATTCCACTCCTGCGGTTTGGGGTTGACAGCTATCACGATGGCAACTCAGGCAGGCATTAGCAGTGTGAGGGCCACATTACTGAATTCGGTTTCAACGTCACCAATTTACATAAGAAATGTAGCTTGATTTCCTTGACCAGATTACTTTTTGTTCGGGAATGTATCGCATTGGTCGTCAGTTTTTTACGGTTGCTTCCGTTAAAATAAAACTAAACTCGTAGTGAAATTCAAGTTGTAGAGGATTGGGCTGTCTGAAAAAATGAAAATTTCTCCTTTTTTCACGATAACAGACCTAAGTGGATCAACTAAACTATGAGACGACATTTGTGAACGTTGAGAATTGATTTCAAACGAATATAAACTACTGGAGAGTTACAGAAAACATTTGAATTATCTTAAATGTTTATATTGAAGACTCTTCGTAACTTTGTTGTACGTTTTATTTAGCTTCACTTCTCTTCCCTGATGTGTGAAGCATCAGTTTACTCATATTATTAATATAATAATATAATAATATCTTCTGTAACATTACTTCTCAGCAATATTTCATTAGTTTTGTCTCTTTTAATGAGGTGTAATGACGTTTTCATATACAGAAATACGTATATACCAGGATAACTTTATCATTATCACAGGTGAAGTCATTTTAATTGTTTATGGAACGGTTTAAGTAGTAAGACTTCATGGTGAAAATGTATTAATTTAAAGGGGGCACCGGCATCCGAAGTACAGCTCTGAATATACGCAACCCGCCCACCCGACCGCCCACCCGTTTCAGAAACGTGCTGGTCCAACCCATCTGCATTAATACGGTTACCCGTATCGTACGGGTACCATATAATATGGATCACCCATATACTCGTAATACGGGTCGGCCGTATAATGCGAGTCGCAGGTAGCTATTGCTATGCTGCTTAATTTATTAAAAATTTTATATTTTATATTTTAAAGCATTTAAAATATTTATATTTAAATCAGTTAAAAATAAAAAAGTAAAATGATCTAAATTTTTAGTTCTGTTTAAGCTTTAACGCAATTTCGTTTCAAAAATTTCAAAGAAGAGTTCAAAAACTTTCAAAGGACAAATATGACAAATAAGACGAAAAGGAAAAAAGCATGAAATGGACAAAACGACAAAACAAGAAAAGGAAGAAAAGTGAATGGACGAAAAGGACGGAACGACAAGAAGAGGACAAAAAGGATGAAAAGGACGAAAGGCAAAACCTGACACAAAGGCACTTACGTCTGGGTGGCAAGCCTGATGATGAGATACAGTTTTGAAAATTCACCGAATTTCTCATAATATATGTTCTTCTTGCCGTGATTTTGAGTTTATAACAAAAAAAACATAATTTGCTTAAGTTTTACCTATCATTTCCGTCGTTTTCGTCTTTTGAAAATAAATTGTGTTATTTATTAAAAAGGAATAACAAATTAGATCAATATAATTTTATTTTTCCCTTATTTAAAAAATGTAAAGAACTATTTTTTAAATACTTTAAAATATAAAATGTAATGATTTAAATAATTTAAGCAACATGGTTATGGTTACCGGCGATCCGTATTATACGACCGACCCGTGTTATATGGGCGACCCGTGTAATCTGAAGGTCTTTGTAAATATTATTGAATATGAATCCAAAGACATGTGGATATGTGTAATCAATACATTAAGACAAGTCGACTGCACTGTAACAAGAATCTTTAATCGATTTGGGGCATGGAAAAATTCTTCACAGAATGATTTGTATTTCATTTATTTTTAGAAAGCTTAAAATGAAAATAAAAACAATATGACCTGATACAAACATAATTAGAAAATGTGAAACTAATCAATGTCCCCTTAAAAGATAGCGTAAGTGACATATCTAATATTTTACAGTAATATTTTAAAGGAAAGCCCAAAATGCAATGAAATTTAGGATTTTACTTCAAATATGAGGATTTGAAACCTTAAAAAACATTGAATGTAGAATAAACTAATGAAGTGTTCATCTGTTATTAATCATATGTTAGAAATCACGTGTATTGATACTTCCTCTGAGCTGTTACCTATTCAATAAGTGATTTTTTTCTGTGCAATAACATGAATAAACATAAATATGTAATACAATTATCATGAATGCGCAAAAAATACACTTCTCAAAAATAGTCGTTTTTAACGTAATTTAAATTAAGAAATAAGTTAAGGAAATATATTTTTAGGAAAATATTATTGAAAGTAGATCACCAGACATCACATATAAAAAGGAGAACACTTCGTTGTTGGTCCCGGAATAGCATCTCCGTGCGTATTTAAACCGATTTCCCTCAAAAACGCAACTTTTGAGGTGATTCGCTTTCCTTTGAGCCGACGTTGTGTATGTGAACACAGAATGCAATACTTGTTTATAAAAATGTTCATAAAATTTCACTGCAGATCATAAAATTGCCTCTGCTGTAAGGCAGTTTCTGTTTCACTCCCACCTAACAACGTGTATTTTTCGTAACATTGTACATTTATGTTTCTGTAACTCAATCCATACACAGAAACACATCTGTGTTTCTCGTATAGAATTCTTATAGTGGAAATCGAACCGTTACATACACTGTCTTAACCGTACAACGGTTGCTGGCATCTTTTTATTTCACTTCGCGGGACACATTCATAAATTTTAAAAACTCAATAATTGCTCTCCTTCCTTCATAAATAATCAATAATGGATGTCGAGGAAAGAATGTTAATAATACACTTAAAACGCTGAAAATTGGGTGGGGCAAACGGCTCTGCTCAAATAAGACAAATGCGATGCATGAATATTTTATTTTCCCCCCCCTCTGATCCCCCGAGTGCCTCTTCACATGTTTCGAAACGCGGGCAATTTCCTCCTTTCCGACACCTCCGACGGCCTAGATTGACAGGCCGAGTGTTTGCGGCCGAGTAATTGTCGGCCGCACGCGACCAACGGGGAAAGGAGTATCGGCAACGCCTACGTCGTCGGGAGGGCGACGGCAGGGACCACGATGCACGACACGGGCGTGTACCACTTCTGGCCCCTATTTTCCTTATTCTGATGGACGTTTTCACTTATTCTGGTTTATTTACTCTGGATGACGTCGTTTCTGAAGAGACCGTCCAGTAGGGACACGTTGTGACCTCAGTCAACTCCCATTCTTGATTGTGCGTGCACCAAAACATACTTTTTTTGTCACTTCCAATAGTTTTTCTTACTAGACTGGCCTGTTGAACTGTGAATGAGCTGAACAACAGCACACTTATTTGAAACTTTGCTGTGACATGAGGCAGCGGCACGCAATACGATTCAAAATTCTGTCAATATATTTAAAAATAAGCGGAATAACGCAATTCAATATTTACATTTTAAGTCTTATCGAAACACTTTTATTGGTTACGATATACTCCGATTTCCTGGGTATTTGACGTTAGCATAGACATCTCTCATCGTCCTCGGTGACTCGTTGGTTTTCGTGTTTCCTTTCTAGGGCACAACCCCAGGTTCGATTCCCGGTCGAGGCAAAAACTAATTGTGCGGTTTTCTTGCAATGTCCCAGTTTCTTATGCTGTGTAACGCTGAGAAAGCTCACTTCAGAGGTTGGGTAATGCACTAATACAGCGAAGGTCTGCCTATGTGCTTACGATATAGTACCTCTTAACCCATGACCGCAAGGCCGGAACGCTGCTGGTAAGCCCTAGCTCAAAATGAGCTATTGTGCCAAAGTACATATATACATACATAGATATCTTTCAGAGAGCCGGAGACAGCTTACGTTTCCTTAAATTTCTTCACGCATTTGGACTTAGAAATGTAAATACTACAAAACAATCAACAGACGCATTTATAGCAGACGACACACCATGCTCTGCGACACACGCTACCACAATGAAGTGATGTCAAGGTCTTCTACTTGTAGCAGTGCAACACTTCGTGGCGCTGTTGCACGAGCTTCTCAGCGCAACTAGCGTCGAGAAAGGAAATTATCAGTTGTAACCCCATCGGTTTCGGTAATTGAGAATTAGAACGTTCTCTCCTAACAAATTTTGCGGAATATTTTTGAACTTTTTGTGATATTTTATTTGCCCTAAACGTTATGAGTTCACACAAATGAAGCCATATTCCAATATCGGCCATACTAGAGATAAAAAAAATGTTCAGAATCGCAGATGCGACGACGAAATTTCTTCATGGCAAGAATTGTGGCTTTGCCCTGAGCTGGAGTAACCGCCCGCGAGAAAATTTCAAATCCAGAACGTGTCGTCTGCCAAAGCGTGAGCAACCGCTGACTTCGGAATTTCCTTCGTAAGGCTATCGCCTGCGGATCCTAGAGAGAGCGCTCACTCACTGCCTGCGGGTATCAAGGTATCAGCTGCTGCCGCTGCAGTGTCTCCGACTAGAAGTTCCTAGGGTTCGAGTAGCGATGGTGGTGAACTTTCGACATAACTGTTGCTAGTTCGAATTAATCCCCTGCAGTGAGCTGTCTGGAAGAGAATTCTAGAGGCCAACTGGTCTTATCGGTGATTTTTCGTGATTTCTCCGTGCAAGACCAGGTGATTGCCGGAGCAGTTCCTTAAAAACAGTCTAGGGACATCCCGGGATTTTTCCTTTCTCCTTATCGTCCTAACACTTTCCCAAACGTATACACATTGAGTTACATGCAACACACTACCACGCATGTTGGGAGACAAGTAGAAAGCTTGACCCGACTGGGGATGGAGAATTGGTTAGTTGATTATTGATTTCGGGTGCGTCAACTGCTAAGACCATTAATCCTGTAAGTGGAGATGTCGGTAATCATTCCTCACTAGATGGTGAGGTCCGATGCCGATCTGCCGTCAGACACTGGCTTTCCCCTACCAGGTATCTCCCACCAGCAAGGCACCAATCCAGCCGGAACAAGCTCTACTCGTAAGTTCCCGACCGGTCTCCTGACATGCGTGGTAGTGTGTGTTTGTCTTTGAGTAAGATGTAATGAGAGGATAAGAGACGGGATGATTTCGCATGGACCGTGGCCTATTTTTAGGTACTGGTCTAGCTTACACCTGTTATTAATCGTAAAACTACCTACCATAGCAGTCGGCCGCTTGTATTCTCCTCCATACAGCTACAGAACTCGACTAGGCACTGAAGTGACAATAGTTCATGCCCTGAACCGCCTTTGCCGGTGGGATGGAGAAGATAACTGAAGAAGAAATTGCCGTAAGTCAAAGGGTGGGTTGGATCTTACCTTGTGCGTAGGAGATCCGCCGCGCGCTATAGCCGACGAGTATGGCCGCCGTTCCTAGGCCGTCAAATGTGGTGAAAGAGGCTTTGTGGCGAAAACATGGCTATCAAACCCGCCTCCCGTTGAGATGGGAAGGTGGGTCAGGGCATCAGTTGATTTTATTAGAGTGTCTCTGACCGGAAGGTCCTAGGGACCAGGCGGTAGCAGGATTTTCCCCACTAGGTAGGTAGCTAGGTCGTATTCAGCCGCTGTCTGAAGGAAAATTCAGGGCGGCTGCTCTGATCGGTAGTTTTTCGTGGTTAACCCAAACACCAGGCGAATACCGTGGCAGTTCCCTTACAAACGGGCCATAGCCCGCAATCTTTCTTCCCCTTTCTTGTCCTTTCCTCATCCTTTACTTACAACCACGCACTACACTAAGTCATGCCGCAATATCGATCGGGAGCTTCAAGCTTGTACCGGTTTGGGCGGTGCCTTGCTGGTGGGAGATACCTGTGTGAGGAATCCCTGCAATACAATCAATACGATCAATACGATAAATAAGATCTATTCCGATCACTTCGTTCATTTTAATCACGTCTATCACGTCTAACACGTCTAACACGTCAATGACGTAATCACGTCCATCACGTCGATCACGTCGATCACGTCGGTCACGTCGGCCACGTCGGTCACGTCAGCCACGTCTACACGTCGGTCACGTCCATTGCGTCCGTCACGTCCGTCACGTCGGTCACGTCCGTCACGTCGATCACGTCCGTCACGTCGGCCAGGTCAATCACGTCGGTCACGTCGGTCAGGTCGGTCACCGCAGTCACGTCATAGAGTTCAATTCCTTCAATCATTTCACTTCTTTCAGTCACTTCAATCTTTTCAATCGTTTCAATCTTTTTAATCTTTTCAATAATATCAATCGTTTCAATCATTTCAATCACT